AAAAATGTACATCAGATAAAAGGTTACAACAACATATTCAGTTTCATCATAGTAGTTCGTCTATTTAATTGGTTGTGTTTCTAAATTTCTAGTGTTGTGTTTATTTTTGATATAATTTAAATATTTTATTATTTTGTTGATTTTGGTTGTGTTTCTAAATTTTTAGTGTTGTGTTTTTTCTTGGTAGAATTTTAAAATTGTACATTTAGTATATTTATAGGTTAACTTCTTTTGCAGTATTGTTTAGTAATGAAAAATACTACCATTGATACTTCATCGGCTGTTTTGCAGCAGTAGTACATCTATTGAAGGTCAAAAAGGTGCAACTTGGGAAAAAATAAATGTAAGGCCAGTAAGTACCTGTTATAATGAAAGTGAGGCCGTATGGCCATGTTGGGGTCACCAACAACCGACCTTGATCTTCGGTGAAAGGTTTGAGTATGAGCATATCCGTTAGGACCCGAAAGATGGTGAACTATGCCTGAGCAGGGTGAAGCCAGGGGAAACTCTGGTGGAGGCTCGTAGCGATACTGACGTGCAAATCGTTCGTCAGACTTGGGTATAGGGGCGAAAGACTAATCGAACCATCTAGTAGCTGGTTCCCTCCGAAGTTTCACCAATAACGTTCCAGACTCAGAAGTATGAAATCGTTTTTCCTCGAAAAGACCTACCTTTTGTGCGGACTGTTCACGTATGCAGATTTCGTCAATTACGGAAACTGCACGCGTGAGCATTGCTCATTTAAATTTTGGTAATTCTTATAGAATTCTCTTAATGAAAATGTTATTATTTTCACTACCATCATCATCCTTAAGCTCATCATCATTACGTTTATCATCACGTTTATCATTATCATCATCATGGTCATCATCATCGTTCTTATGATCTACAAGACAATAACACAAATAACAAACCTAAACACACACGAAAACAAATATTTCTACCATAAGTCAAAACAAAACAACGAACGAACAACCACAACAAAACAAATTATTTGAAGTTACCTATTATTTAAAGAAAACAATCATTTTTTTGATCATTATTACGTTTATCATTATCATCATCACATTTATTATTATCATCGTCATGTTCATCATCATCATTTTTATAATCTGAAACACAATAACAGAAATAATAAACCTAAACACACACAAAGAACGAACATTCATACCACAACTCAAAGCACGATAACGAACGAACAAGTATAACATTACCTCGAATATCATCAGCCACATTATCGGTATGATTATCGACACTATTTACAAATCTAAGATATATACAAATAAAACATAAAGTATTAATGCAAAGATTAAACTTACTTTTCAAAACTACGATATCATTATCATTGCGTACCTGTAAATTAACATCGACTGTGCCATTACGAACACCCTAAAGATACATAATCTAATTTCAAAAACACATTTACTAACCTCTACTAAATACTCTTCC